CTGACTGCCAGGAGTCAAAACACCGCAGCCAGGATTACAAGCACATCACCTGCAAAAAGCCTTGGACTTGAGCAGCCCACCAAAATCAAAGTCCGGCGTGTCTAGCCCCATGATGTTCCCAAAGATGCACAAGTGGTAGGCTTAAAGGGAAACCGCCGGTTCCATGTTCTCACGTCCCTCAGAAAAAAGAACACCGAAAAAGAAACAAACAAAAACAACACGGCGGTGCTCAGAACCCAAAACCCTTGCGGAGAAAAACCCACGGCCTGAATTGATAGAAGCGCTGTGCGGATCGTCAGCGCGGGGCTCCACTCCTGAAAAAGCTTCCGGCATCGAGACATGCATCGGCATGTGCAGGGATCTGCACATTCCGGACAAAAAGCAGGATGTTCAACCTGCACTATATGACCATGGGTCAAAATCCAAGTCGTACCCCCAGTGAACATCCCAATCCCCACTAGACTAAAATGGGTGGTGCAACCACCAAGATGGTACCATTGGTTTTGACACCCACAGCCATGGGTGCCTGTTTGGTGGTAAGGGGAAGCAAGAAGGAAAACCGTTTCCCCATTTCGGGGGTCCGCTACAAACAGACACACCCATTCGCCCATATTCAGTATGACATATCGTATTGGTGTTTCTTACAATATCTTGAACCCACTTTGGGATGGTGAAAACCTGCAGCCAGGAACCAATCAGTTTTGTTGGGTCGATTTTGGGGCAGCAGCTCCTGAGTGAAATGGCCAAAATACGTCTGGTTTGCTTCAAAAATACGTCCTCCAAACAAGCAGAGCTTTCAGCAAGGGAGGCATACGCGTGGCCTTTCCGGGCTCAAGAGCTGCACATGCCTTCCCCGAAGGCCTGTTTGTAGGGTTGCCTTTCCGTAGGGCTACGCATCGCAACACTCTCCCTGCAACCTAAGGGCCCGCTATGCCTCGCTGTCAAGGGTTGAGCCGGGACTTCAAGACTGTGAGTGGCTACGAAAACCCTGGAGTGAGAATTCCCCGTCGAAAATACCAACAAACCAATGGGTTGGTGCGAACGGAGTTCGTCCTATTTGAGTCGAGGGACTCACGGCTTACCACCCAACTACATGGTCCATGTTTTTTTGACTGCCACGCTTCAAAGACTGAAGAGGCGGCTTGGCTAATCAACGTTCAGGTTCCTTAGCGGGACATCCTGTTCTGCTTCGTAACTCCCTCAAGGACTGAGGATTGCCCGTGCACAGCCCGGACAAGCCTGTCGCTGACAGGCTTAATAGGCCATCTGCATGACTGATTTGTCACGTTGAAGCATATTCTGGCTTATTGTTTCTTTTTTTCCTTTGTATTTGTTCGTTGTGACGGAAACTGACCCTCAAATCCCATGTTCCTCCATTCGCGGACGGGTCAAACCTGGGGTCAAACAAGCCAGTGGTTTCCCTCCGACCCAAAATGGGTGTCCGCAAAAATGACGCGGCCCAATTCATGTTGAAATGTTTGCCAAATGAATCACGAACGGAAACCTTGCTAGGTCCTCCAGTAGAGAGGTTAGAATAAGGGTGCGGTTTTTCTGTAGTCTATTTTACTAGGGGGGCACTACTGGGGGACCTAGCTTGCGAGGTCCAACAACAGCCTGGCCCATGTGACAATGCCGTGCTCATCACCGAGCTTGAGTGAGCATAAGTGTTGCAGGCATGAAAAATGGGATACTCGCCGAGGTTTCATCTCAGGCTGATTGAACTCACCTCAAAATCAACACCCAAGCTCGCTCTCGTTGGTCCAAACCTGGCAATGCCTTGCTCACCTTGGTTCAAAAACAGGAATGGCAAGGACTGGGGATTTGTTGGGTTTCATGAGGGGTGGAATTTCTAAGCAGCAAGCCCCATCTTTGAAGGTTGGCCCATGTTTGGAGTGTTTGGCTGCCTTAAGAAAAGGGCGGTATGCGCATTTGTGGACGGCTCTATGTTTCTCATGTAGGGCTATCCATACGACCCCCACTGCCTGCAACCAGACGCTTTTGGACACGCCACTTGTGCGAAAAGGCAACCTGCAAAGGTTTCCCAAACTTGTAGACATTACCAAGGTTTCCCAATCTGCTGAGGTTTCCCACTACAACCTTTGTGTCTACAAGCCATTTCTGCTCAGAAGATGATGTTGCGTCTACAGGATCTTCCCAACTGCGTCCTCTTGCTGACCAAAGGCTCTGAAGCATCCACCCAATCCAATCTAAGAGTTTCTGCTGGGAACTACTTCAGGAAATATAGGTGAGCCCAAAAGGTCCTCCAAAACGACCGGAAAAGGACAAATGGGAAAACTCGGGCGCAACAATAATATCTAGAAAAAAACAATGGGGAGCTTACTTCCCGAGTGGATGGGCCAGAAAAAGTCCTGGAACTTGACTGGTTGCTGGCAAGACACCTCTGCAAAAGAGCTTCACTTGTTGTGGCTCTAATTTTGAAAATTCATTTCAACTGCAAGTCAAAGTCCACGGATGCAGCCAAAATTAGCATAAAGTGAAAATTCGGAAAACAGCAAGTTCAAGTTGACAAATCCATCACCAACTGGACTCAAAGCACTGCCAATTATACAAGAATTCCAAAACCTAACGAGGTATCCCCAAGTAAAGGGCAAGCCAGAAGCTTACGGAGGGTATCGATCCGGATGCGCCTTGCCCAGGACGTCCAGGCAAATGGCGCCCGTCTGGCGAACCGAATCGAGTCCGACGGAATCGGAAGGGAAGGTCCAAGGGGAATTCACCCAAGCCTGGGGAGAAAGGCAGCTTGGTGCAAACCTCCCAAAAACCCCGAGGAAAACGGGGAACGGGGGGGGGGGGGAAACTGGGCAACAACATGTCCGGTAAAGTCCAGGCGGGCTTGGGCGTTCGCCGACTTTGAAAGCGCACGAAAACGCCGCAGAAAATGGGGCGCATGCGACCTGCCAGGGCGACACGATTCGGCCAGCAGTGGTTGTATCATGAACCAACTTGCACGGACTGGGCCCGCCCAGCGTGTACTCATGTTGAACCAAATAGCCCTAGGTGGTGCTCTGGGGACAGCAAAAACCGTCCTAGAAATACTAGCCCTGCTACCCGGGTTGCAAGGTGCGGCTCGTGGCTCGTGCGCCCTTTTCCGAAAGCGCGACATGAGAAACACGCCATGCCCGATCGGCACTCGCTTCGCCGGACGCTTTGGATGCAAGCACCTACGGCTTGCGGGTCTGCTGGCTGGGCACGCGGAATCAGCAATCGAGTTGTGGGCTATCTGGCCATGGGTCAAACTCCCGTACCCCCAGTGAACATCCCAATCCCCACTAAAATAGACTAAAATGGTATCCCAAAATAGGACCCCATTGGTTTTGACCCGCATCCATCTGACGTTCCACAGCCAGCCTTTTCGTTTTGCAGGGGTCACTGGATTTCCCCTTCAAAAGTCGCAGGGACCCGGCATGCCATACTGTGGGTGGGTGCAAAATCCACAAAAATTGCAGCAGTTCTCAGCTTCCCACTGATTGGTGGTTTGGAGCCTGGTGGCTTGGTGGTTAAGGAAGGCAGCAGTTATGGACGAAACCTTCTGAATACAGAGATAACCCCAAGCCAAGCAACTGGTGCGTGGCGTGGATTTGTTCATCACCCTGAAACACATGATAGGCACTCACTTCCTGAGTGGATTGTCCAGAAAAAGTAACCAAACCTTTTAATTACCAGCTTGCTATTTCACTGTCTACCGAAAGGTGGGTATGTGTTCAGAATGGGGTCACTCACTGCACAAATGGTGAGCAGAACACCACTGTACAAAGGGCACCTCAAATCATACAAATCTATACCTATAGTGCACGCGGAATCGACTTCACAGCCAAGCACTCCTTTGGGAAACTAACTGAGCAACGGCAAGCGAACAATCTAAGGACAAGTCGTGGGCCCTTAAGCCGTGCAGCTTCCGCAGGCACCCAGGGCACGGGAGTTGCTTCCGCGACAACCATCTGAGTCACAATCAAAGCCCGGCAATTATTAGAATGGTCCACCCAGAACCATGTAAAGAATTAAGAAGGCGGCCGCAGCTATTTATGGTTGGGATTGTCCCTTACTAACCTTCATCTACCCGGGTTTTGATTGTGGGCCATCTTGTGTCCGCGGCTTCCGCACTTGGACTGAGTTTCCGCTCTGCATCTGCTGGAACGCATGGCTGGCCAGTAGGCTGAGAGCAAGGGAAAACACGAATTGTTGATTCTGTGTTTGGCAACAAAAACAAAGCTCCTTAGCGGGCTTCCGCACCCTGACCAAATCCCTACATGTTTGGACCCCTGACAAGTCTCTTAACAAGGTCATCGCTGCTCAACTGGAAAAGGAACCAGCCCGTGGCACAATCAGGCACTTATGGAAAAGCACGTCCTTTTTCGTTGAACGGTTTGAAAGAGAAACCTCACCCAAAGACAGGAACAAGAGTTGAGCCACAACCTAAATCTGATATGACCATACCCAAAACCGTGAAACAACCACACCTGGGACCATCCCCTAACCTCAATCTCTCCAGGTTTTGAGAACGTGGCACAGGCGCCACGGGAAACGGAGGGAAGCGCAGAAGCGAGCCCCGCGTGGGGAAAATCGGAGATCCGCTCGCTCCAGCCGAGCCGGATCAACGGGTCCTACGATTCGCCGAAGGTTCAGATGTCATGCCATAAGTTTGGACTTGTTCAGCCCCAGGGAAGCAACGTATCATCGCAGGTTTAAATAACCTTGAGGGCAAACGGGCAAACAAGTTGGGGGTACTTTTAAAGGGCCATGAAAAGGGGAAGTGCCATTTGATTAGTTGGGTTACAACAGAAACACCCCACTTGCCAGGTCCTTCTTGCCACAGGCCTCCAGGCGTCCGAAAAGCTGCAACAGCCACGAAATAACTGCGACAAAATAACTGAAGACAGAATTGCACGTGACTTGTTCCGATATTATGGAAGAATGGACAGAATCCGAAAAAATATGTCACCGAAGCCAATACTATTGTGAGCTTGTATGACAATATCTTCACACAATGAAACCCCACCTGGCACAATCCATCCTCACGTCCGATTTCTCGCTTCAGCGGCCACTCTTGACGACCTTGGTCACTCGCTCGCATCTCCCATGGGCAACATGCGAAGCTCCGGCCAGCGGGTGGCATTTGCCTTTGGACAGCCCCTTGTCTGAAAATTGAAGGACCATTGAGAGATTCGAACCGTTTACTAGCCTGAAATAGGGGAGGAATCCTCGATATGAGTGGGTCTATCCCCCCTTTGCGAGGTTGCTATAGTTTGCGATAATGCTCCTATAGCCCTCCCGTCTTTTCTTTTGGGTAATATAAAAGTTCTGGCTATTTGGCACCCAGTACAAAAGCAGAAAGGCCAATGCACATTTCTGAGGTAGGCGGCTGCAATTTTGCAGGACAGGTTTCGCAAGCAGTTTGGGCATGCGGCATGCGTCACAACAGGGTGGACACATAGTGACTGGGGCTTTCCAATGGCTTCCGTTTAGCCTAAGCAAAAAATGCTAACTTTCAGCCAAAAATCAAACACCGATAGATTCGAAGGAAGCCTTCGCACAATCGAATGGCCTTGATTTGGACCAGTGACAAAAATCATGGATAGCTTGGCAATCTGAGGCCTGCATGTTGCCCCTTGGCTGCCAATGCAAGGGAGGAAAGCAAACGGCCGCAATGGCCCAACACCGCCGTGCGCCAACTGAAAATCGCGTGGTTCTCGTTTCTGGCGTTGAAACATATTGAAACATTTGTATATGCTCTTGGTGATCCAGCCAAAGCAGGCCCAGTACTCAGAAAGCCGAAGAGGAAACGCATGCACATTATTGTAGGGCTAATTGCCCAATTCTTGCCAGAGCATTCCTTCCGGACAAAAAGCAAAGCAAAACAGGAAAAGGTGCTGCATTCTGACAAGAATGATGGTTAAAAACAATTGTGGAATCGACCCCGCACCAGAAAAGCATATGTCCAGATTTTGTTTCAACTTAAAGCAACCCGAAAATACACATCATACTTTGGGTATACGAAATCCTGCACAACTTGGGATGGATGAAACCCTATTACAAATAAGAGTTGAAAAACCACCTGCCAAGTGGATGTTGTCCAAAGACAGTGGAGGAAAAGCAAGCCTACGGTTTCTCAGACCGACAGAGCTCGGGTGCGAGCGGTGAACCTTGGGCGCCGGGCTCCGTTCGCATCGAAGAAAAGGTGCGGGGAGGGCACCTGGAGTGTAAGCTACCTCTCCCGAGTCCACTGGGCTCGGATTCGTTCGGATTCCCCGGTTTCAAATTTACTGGTCTCCACGGAAACGATGCCCACTTTTACAAGGGTGCCGAAAAAGGGACATGGAGGACACCTCCTGATTTGTGCTTGCACTTGCCCTTTGGCCTGATCCCCACCCTAAACCAGCTGCCCCTTGCGAGCTTGAGTGAGTCTTAAGCATTGCCATTTGGGCCAAGTTAAGGCAAGCTGTGTTTTGGTGGGGTGATGTTTAGCGGGGAAACATAGGCAACCCTGTCTATGTATAGACATGGCTGTTGTCGATACCACCCATTCCATGCAGTGGTAGAGTATAAGGAAGCAAAGCCTTAGGAGCATGAGAACGTACGATATGTCAACTTTAAATTTGAACAGAACCTCGTGGATTGACAAGGTGTTATAGAATTGATCTGGGGCATCCAGTAAGCCATTTATCACAACCATAGGCAAGGACAAAGAAACCCATCCCGCATTCCATTCACTGGCAAAAACACACTATCCACACAAAACCTAGACACCATAGTGTTTGGTCATGTTGTCCTTGACCACCCTGGTGATGTGCAGTGCTATAGGTGACACAACGTCACTGGCGAGTAGGGCACATGTCTAGAAGTGCTTCAATGACAAAGAAACAGTTGCTCAGCCAAATTAACTATGTTTTCCAATTGGCTATTCACGATGCTAACCAGTTGTTGGCGACTCCTGCCGGCATGTACGCCAGAACCTGCTTGAATCCTCTGGGACACGAACAGCTCAACATTGCAACCCTTGGTATAGTAGCAAACACTTTTTTTGCAGCTCCCTACTAAAAACGAACAGAACCAAGAAACTCAAAAAACAAAAAAAACGATAACTTGCCAAGAACAGTCAAGCTCAGGACTCAAGATGCAGCGCTTGCTCTGGGCCATGCTCCGAATGATCTTGATAATCTGAGAGTGTGGTAGTTGCCGAGAAAAAACAACATAAAAAAGGAAACACAACTATAAAAAAGTCACGCGCCAAGGCCAGGGCGCGGGTCTCGGAGCTGAACTTCCCGGACAAACTGAACCCAGACATTCAATATATGCAACTGGCCGCATTGATTTTTTCCATCCTCAAACTTACTCCTCCCCCCCCAGGCAAAGAGAAAGAACCCCAGCTTCTAACGTGCATACCCCGGAAATGATCCCTGTGAGTGGGTTGCCCAAAAGAAGTCCACTCTTTTGGTTTACCACTAGAAAGGTCCAACCCCAAAACGTGACTACTTTCTGGTCCACTAACATGGAACCCATCTACCGGGACCCCCTCTATGAGGTTCCATGATGGATGGGAGGGTAACGTCCGAAACGGAACTCAGCGCGCGTGCAGAGCCAACATGGACCGACCACGCACAGCGCCTCGTCCTCGAGCACGCCCAGGGCGTGGTTCACAAAGACGGTGCCTCCGGCCACCTGCGCAAAGGGTCGCTGGCTGAAAACATGCGCCCCGTTTTGAGGGCACCCGCCCATGGAACCTGACAGGGGGGTCCTGGTTCTGTTTGGACCATGGTCCTTTAAGACAAACACACGCCATTTGAGAGGTCCCACTTGGAGACACAACCAATAAACCTGAGCACGTTGTGCGTGAAGCGTGCGGTGTTGGAGGATCATGTTGTGATGGCATCGAATTGGAATCCTTCGGGCGGCTTTCATGATAGAGTTACTCGGACAGACCCTCGACTGCACCTGTGTCACAGTGATTCTCCTGTAGAAGGGTGTACAAACAAATTAGGTAAACAACATAAAACTCTTGTTCTACGTTCAGCTCATGTGGGCATGCCCACCAAGGCAGCTCTATTGCCATGCCTGAATCAAGGGACACATTTCTGGGTGAGTAGGTAATTGCAAAAGCTAGCCATCCTGTCAATCAGAAATAGACAGGTATGTCACGGTATGTCTCAAAATGAGGGGACCCTGAAAATTGCGGTCCTTTTCCCTTCAAACAAACCCCAATACGCCCAGGCACCAAAGAAAGGAACCATGGCTCTAAATTTCACGTTCGCTCCCGGCAACATGATCTCGCTAAAAACGCATGGCGTTCTTGCCGGCCATAGACGTGCACTTGGCCATCGTGCGTATCAAAACTAGGGTTTACACGTGGACTCACTCCAAAACAGTCAGGGGGAGACCCTAGATTTGGCAGTCATGTGGCCATGTAGGTGTTTCCTGTTGCGGGTCGCCGGCTTCAACATAAGCTGACCATAGTGGAGTTTCCCATGTCCAAGCAATACCCATACAATCGCGGCGGGTTGAAAGGCCCGAATCTTTTCGCCCATCCTGCTTTGAAGGCACTCAATTCGCTTGGTGTTTGGCAAATGAAAAATGAAAGCAGGTGCTTGGCATAAGCCAAATGATCCCTGTAGACTCGTAATGTAAGAAATAGCTATGAAGTAGATGCAAGAAATAAGAGAGGATAGTACCTGCAAGATCAGTTTCCTCTTAAAAGTACCCCCTGGCAGGTGCCATGTTCGTGAGGGTAACCTTTAGTTTGCATGGTAGTTTATGAAACAAGTCCAGTGCGCCGAAAAGGATCGTGCCTGATGGGCACGCATCGTTGAATGGCCGTAGGCCTCAAGGGTGGGAAGGTTGGATGAGAAACCCCACTTCTCCGATAATTGCTGGGGAACCCGTAGACTTTACTTTGGGAAGCAGTGCTTTTGGGCAAACCAAACAGCGGAACCCTGGGAAATAGCTGGAATAGGGCCAGCCAGTCGCTATGGAAGGTAGGTCATCCCGAAGTCTTCTCGGCTCCCGAATCCTGCCCCGATGCTTGCCCTTGCCTCCATTTGCTTCCCCTACAACAAATAAAGCATATTTCCAGTGATATATTCTCTTTCAAACCAACGACGTTGTCCGGAAGCCCTGCTTTAGGCCATCCACTGAGGAAGTCTTGAAGTTGCAATGTGTCAGGCCATGCGTGCATGCGTGGGTCCATGAAATCGCGTGTGCGCTGTCGCTGGCCACCTGTCAATGGCCAGAATGCCAAGGATCTACGTGGGACAAGGATGATCCACCAGTTTGAGAAACACTCAAACATGGAAAGGCAAATCCTGCAATTGGCTCGCCTTGCACTTGCACTAAACAGGCATGTTCACCTCCGTGCGCACGTCTGTCTGCTCTGCCCTTAGGCTGACGGGTCTGCGAAAGGAACAAAGCAGCTTGCTCCAATGTGCTGATGCGGCGAGGTAGTCCTTGCGGGGGTTGGGATCATGGTAACGAATATGATTAGTGCGAGTCTTGTCTTAAAAAAGGTGTGCTCAACAAAAGCCTGGTCCAAGAGGACTTAGTGAGTCGAGTCGGAACGTTAGTGTCTTTTCATTGATTCGGGCATCTCTGGCCTGAATCGTATGATCATCTCCGGGTAGGCGAACAAACGGCTTGGAGCGCCACGTTTGTTTGATTGAACATGGAGCGGAAATGCATGTTTTGTGCTGCGGAAACTGAGAAGAACATCAAACTAGATGCGGCCCTGCCATTCCTAATGTTGCAAGTGAGCCAAGCGTCCCACCCCAAAAGCAAGGTGTCTTGCAGTTGAGAATAAGGTTGCCTTGCTTCGCGATTTGCTTAGTAAGTAGGTCATCCACTGTAGGATTGCTGTAGGATGCTTTGAGCGTAAACAATTGGACCTATGAGCGGGTGCACGTTCCCATCTTTATTTCTGCACGATACTGCGCCAAGGCCCGAGCGTGGCCGACGCTTCGCAGCTGACGAAGCTGATCCTGACAAAAAAAAAAAAAAGGTTTTTCTGTTGACGGGGCACATCCATACGGAGATCCTCAACATGGTGGCTGTAAGGGACGCACAAACCCTTCGAAATATTCATTTGTTGCTTTTTATTTCAAAGGGAAGCCCCCAAAAGCAAGTGTACGGACCCTTCGAAATGTTCAGAGAATACTATGACTTGCTGGCTCGATAGGCTGTGAATCAGAAATGGAATAACTCCTATAATTTCACCATCCAACTGGTGGTTTCCTTTATTCGGGAATTCCCAAACGGTTCATTCCCTACACCCTGGGTCATTCCCCACTGGGAATACTGGGTACATCCACACAAATATGGCTGTGGGTCAAAAACAATGGTACCATATTTGGGGTAGGTGCACCACCCATTTCAGTCTATGTTAGTGGGGATTGGGATGTTCACTTGGGGTACGGGGTTTTGACCCATGGCCATATCCTCGAAAGTGTGATTTTAAGGGAAGTCGTCAAAGGAAAAATGTGAGAACCCCTCGAGATGTTCACTTTGAGGGCCCAGGGATATCCCCACTGTGAACTGAAGAAAGACGAGACCCTCCATGGAGTACATCGTATATTGAGTGTATTAGCAAATCTGGACAACCAAAACGACACAGCTTTAAAGGACTACTCTCCTGCAGATTAACATGGAACCCAACAAACCACATTATCATTTCTGGAAGCTCCTTTTGGGTTCCGGACTCCCTGAAACGGACAAGCCATGTTAATTTGCTGGGGAATAGTTTCCGAGTTCTTGGGGTTTGGGTTAGGGGCCCCGGCCCTATTTAACCTATTGGAAGTGCTTCGCAAGTAGGCAGTGGCCTGACTGGACAAACTCCTTGCGTTCATTGGGGGCAGGAAAAAGAGCTGAACAAAACAAACACCTTGTGGTTGTGGGCCAATCTCCTACAGTTTTCTTGTGCTTTCTTGAGATCAACGGGTTCTCTCATCCAGCGGTTTCGCTAGGCAACTAAAGAAACTCCACCTCGCGGCAAGGTGTGAATTGGCTTGCGTGGGCGTGATGGTTGCTGGGTGCATCCCAAACGTTTGTTTAGCGCCCGGGCAAAGATGGACAGGGCCAAATGTAACGGCGATTCTTGAATATGAATCAGGCAAGCTAGGCGTTGAACATTGCTCTATCGTTTTTGACTCCCAAAAGCACTGTTGCCTCTAAAACCACCAAAGAAGGGGGTACCCTCCAAAGAAAACGCACCAAGACTCGATCTTTGCTCAACGCAAAGGCCCTGCCTCCGGCCCCGAAGCTCCCGAACGCCTCCCCAAAAGCCCTCCATGTGCTTAGGGTCCCCTGGCACAAATAAACAAACAGTTCCAGTAATTATTGCTAGATTCCCTTTCAAACCAACGGGGGAAAAAATATGGCCCATACCCTGCGCCCAGTCGTGGAAGTGGAGCGGCCCATCAGGCCTCAATCTCCTCACAGCCCATAGCCTGTGCCTGCTTGCCTGTCGCGGCTTTCAAGACATGGGATCGGTGGGGAATGCAGTTCCATGGGGTCATTCCATTTAACTCATCTGAGCACCAGCAGGAAGATTAAGATGGACTCGGACAATGCCACGTTGTTCTTTGAGGAAGCGCATGGAAAACGGCTGGCAGCTGGGACCGCTACCTGCATGTTTTGTTTACAGGAATCTTCTCCGAGGCACGTTGTCGTTTTCTGGCTTTGTTTATGTATCTTTACTACATGTTCTTAATATCACTATAGATGTTTCCATGCGTATTCTTTACTTTCAGTCAAGGAATTTCCTGTGTATTGTCGTCGTGTTTATATACTACTGTTAATCGTACAGGCTATTTGTTGTAAACATCAGAATCGTAAAAATACATGTCTGAAGACAACTATGAAAACATATCAACTTTGTCTTGTGGCATGTGAAAGAAGTGTCTTGGTCATTTATCGTGCAGTCGTCAATTGCTTATTCTAGATTATATACATATATATGTGTGTATGTATACATATATATATATATGTATGTGTATACATACATATATGTACTCATATGAGCCGCATATGTGTATAAATATATGTCTCAATGGTCTGATGTAGTAAGAATATAACGATTGTAGGAACTACAATTCTTCTTCTTCCTCTGTAATCATGGTCTGTCAAAGAACATTTGTTGCTATACCTCTCCCTTTCACTGTCTCCGCATTCTCTATTTCATTGTCACTCACAAAGCTTGCCAATGCTCAATTGTTGCAAAGACGATGGCTTCTTGGACGCTCTTTCGCGTTCCATGTTCTCGGCAGGCCTTAGCTACTTTTCCTGCAGGCTCTGGCGAGACGCTTTTGCTGCTGAACAAGTCACACAGGCCCAACATGCAAAGACACACAGCCTCCTCTCAGGATGGTCATGTAGACGCCTCCAGCCAGCTTCCGTTGCAACTTCATCGCTGGGCGCGTCTGTTTTCTAAAGTACCCGCACAACGTTTTGGCATGCACGATGCCACGAGTTTTCGCACGCCGCCACGAATTCGGGCAGGCAACGTACATGCCATGTTAAAACCAACAACCTTCTCGAAACACGCCTCCAGTCCCCTTGCAAAGCAAGCGGACACCCCGACGGTATGGCAAGGAACAGCCTGCTCACCCAAGACCTTGCCCACATGGGAATCGCCAAAGGAATGAAAAGCCAAACCAGGAAGCAATCCGCACTGACTTCCTCAATCAGCAGGCCTAAGTTGGACGCCGACGCACGGACTTACACAGGATAGAATACCCCTTTTTGTTTTATGTCGCTTTTAAAGGGAAAGCAACAAGAAAGTCACCATTTTGGGGGGTCCAACCGAAGTCCAACCTTAAAAACACACACACACACCCAGCTAGCACTTTGACAGCTTGGGTTCTTTCCGGATCGAGGTGCAGCGAAGGCCCTGACTTGAAATGCTCATCCCCAGACCGGAGTGTCTTTTTTGAGGGGTACCCTGCTTGGGGTGGTTTCAAAGGGAAACCAAAAGGAGAATCACGATCCCGTACTCTTGACGCACGCCCGAATGAGTTCCTGACACTTCATGGGGGGCGATTCATCATTACGGTCCGCAGTCACAGGGACACCAAACGAACACACGTCACCAACTCATCTCCACCTTTTCCGTCCGCGAAAGTCGCAGTTGCTGAATTACAAAATGAAAGGAACAAAGTCGCCAGAACCAACTAATTCACATAGTACGAATCGAGCACATCACGAGCTGCAACACAGAAACAGGCACGTGTAAGAAAAACACGTGTTGCAGGCAAAAACAACAAAATGCCATCCTTCGCTGACATGCCAGATGTTTGTTTGACACGACCAACAAAAAACATGAGGTTTCTTTTAAGCCAAACACGCGCCTGTGCCGTCGAAGGGAAGCGTGGTCAAAGGCAGGAAGTGCGAAAATGTCAAAACCTTGGCGGATGGCAAGAGAAAGAGACACTGCACCCTCAACCAGAAAACAAGGATGGTAGATTTGGATAGGGGTGGTCCTTGGTTCCTGTTGCCATTTGTTGTAGATTAAGGAAGGTTTTGTTGTGTATCGTTGCAGCATTCAGGGCATCGGTATCACAAACCCGAATTGCAAATAACGCCCATTCCTTTCACTCCGGAGCGAACCATCCGCATCGGTGGCCCGGACATCTCAAATATCCATGTCACGGGGAAACTTCAGGCCCGCTAGTCTTGGTGGTTGAATGTTAGGCTATTTTCCCCTACTCAAGCTGCAGCAACTGGTGAACAATATCTTTCCTGATTGGTCCATACACAGTCGTGTCCGTGTGGGGCGTGTTGCTCTTGAGTCGGTGCTTCGGCCAAGTTGAAGTGGGCGATGGCTATATATCAATCATAAGGCGTCGTCTCAAGCTGTTGCACAGGCTGAACGGCTTTGCTCACTCTAGATTCGACCAGCTACTGAATATTCCGACAGGCCAAGCACACCCAACTGACATTTGAAACACCAAAAGGGCTTGCTCGCCCTACTCCGATCATGTGATTTGAGCAGGTACTCAATGAACGGTTGGGACATGGATTTGCCTGTCATTCACAGCTTTCATAGAAACCCAGCCCTTCCAAAGCACGTGGTGAAACAGGGCTTTCGCACAAAGACCCTGCGTTACTCTTGAAAGACCCAAAATTCACTTTGTTGTGTGTGTTCATTTTTTCATATTCAACGTATTCCACACTTCAATTTTCCAAAGCGTGCAACCTAAATTGTAGCCACACCTGTCTCGCAAAGCGACGGGTTTTTCAAGTGCGTTCACGGGATGTTCACGGTCGTTTCACGTTGTGTTCACGCTACCTTGGTTTAAGCAAGTTTCTTCCCCGTGCTCTATTGACATCAGCCAAACTATCTAGCAGTCCGAACGAAGCGAATCTGGGTAAAACCAGGTCGTTTGCAAGACTGAGACAAACGAGGGTGGAGGAAGTTCTGCGTACGCAAACACAAGCGGACCAGACTCACACAGAAGTGGTTTTGCTACTTACTTGCAACTACAGCACTTGCAAAATTCATCTGCAAGGAGTGTCTGCAAACCCTTGCCTTGAAGGCTTGATCCTCCATTCGCTTCGCCCATCTTTGCTTTCGACCAGCACGAGAGTGGCTGAGTGCTGGAAATTGTCTTAAAAGGATCCCTAGAACGAATTGGGGAGGAATTGAGGTGCGCAAAGCTAGATGCGTGCAGTGGCTCAAAGCAGATTCTTGAACCACTGCATTCAGGGTCATGGCTTAATGCTAGGGCGGACGGCGCCTCGATACGACTCTGGGTGACAAAAACTAACAACTCCTTTTGCAAAAATCTGGCACACAAGCCAACTCTGTTCGGCACACCAGCGATCATGGAATTGCAGGTTCTGGGTCTCGCCCCTTAACCCTATTCCGAAAGCAAGACAGTTAGACCTTGTGTGATTTATAAAATAAGTAGGAACGTTCCGATGTGGCCATGTTAGAACAGGTCAATGCAACGCAAACAGCCCAGTGTTGTTATCCGCTGCAGCTGTTCGAAGCAGGTCTCTCTGGTTCGGTGGAGCACGCGCTTAACAGCAAAACGAGTGCGCAAACCTCACCCCAGCAAAAATGCAAAATCCACACACAGGCACCCCGGTGGGCGGTGCTAATCAGGGGTGGTTCTAGCGCATGGGAAATATTAATTTCCCATTGGATTCCTCTACATGGTCCTCCGAATGAATCCGAGATTGAGAACATCTGTCTCCTTGTGGTTTCCTTCTTGGGGATTGGTTTTCAGCCGTATTTCCCTTAGTACTTAGCTGCAGATGGGCCGATCTGAGTTTCTATAGGCAAGTAAATCAATGAACCCCCTAGCAGGGTCGGAAACGTTCCATACACACTCCGGTCAAACACCATACCCCTTGTTTGGAAGTTGCGTTAAGCATGAGAAGCTCGTGTGTTGTTTTTTTCTTTAATGGCGGAGGGTGTACGTGAGTTAACCCAGAAGTTATTGTGATTCATGCACTCACAAGGATCCTCGCCCCTGGATGGACATGCAAGCTAGCAGATTAAGGCGCGACCTCTGCTTTTCCTATCCAAGGGCATGTTGATATTGGCAAACATGCCTTAACGCCATCAAACACCAATCACATCACTTCAGACCATGGCTGCTATTGGGACACTTTGTCGGGGCGCGCGTATGTCAGGATTGGTTTGATAATGTTGGCTTAAAGGGGACCAAAAACAACCAAAAGGAGCACCACCATTTTGGATTTGCACTATTTAGACCCTTTTTATATACCCACGGCCAAAATTATTAAAACTCGGTTGCTTTCTGCTTCCCTGCTAAAAGTTGAACTTTCAGTGGTGTAATGGAAAACACGTTAAATGTCATTGGTTGGCAAAAAGTTAAAGTCCCAACATCCAAGCAAAATGCACCAAAGTGAAAGTCCATGCGAACACGAGCCCACGTTGTTGGGTGGCGCCTGGTTGCTTGTGAACACCGCAAGGGCGCTTGAGGCCCCCTGCCGAGCCACGGTATGGCAAGCGCAAGTGCGCCTGGCGGAGCGCGTTTCTGATGGACGAAATCCGCTCGCACCACTTGGAATCCAAAAAGGAACTCATGGTTTGTGGCGGAATCATCTTTCCAGCGTTTCTTAGGTGGTGTAGGCGGTGCAGTGGTGCAGGATGTTGTCCATCCACAGTATGACCAGCTTCCCACTTGGTTTGGAGCCCGGTGGAAGGGTGGTCTTGAGGTGGTTTCCCACACAAGATCCAGGGGTTCAAATCCACACCACCAATCCAAACCACCAATCAGGGGCTACCTGCGATGGAAATGAGGGGGGTACTGGAAAACCATTCCCTTAAACCACTGGTGGATTGCATTTTTGCGTGTGACAGGGTAGTATGAAGTGAATGCTGAAATGTTCAAAGCTCATATGGTCATGACTTGAGGTAGTTATGTTCAGGGCACGTATAACATGACGCATATTCTGGGCGTATAGAACTATGTATGGGGGTGTATTTTTGCAGGGGATTTGTGCTTTTGTGGTTTAGAGGGAAACCGAAGGGCAAACCACCCATTCTGTTGAAGGGCTTCGCCGGCAAGGCTTTTCTTTGCATTTGGAGATTGCAGGAATTATTTCTTGTCGATTGCTACACGCCAAGGAAGAGTTAATGAGAAGCAAGAAGCCCAAACCACCACCCAAACCTTTACCATCCCGCAGAATAGCAGCCACAGATATAAAAGCGCACTTCCGTCCATGCTTAAGGGACCCTTTCAGACTTCTTGCAGCTGGCTTCTCCTAAGTGCCTAAACAACTCATGCACTCGGCGCTGGGGCTCGCAGGGACGGGGCGCGCAGGCTCAGACTTGAACCGGAGACGGGACCTTGATTCTTGGGTTTACAGCCCAATCCAAGTGTGGCGTTTGATTCCGTGGGTGAAAAAACGCCCCCTCTGTTTGAATACTAGAAACTGTCTCAGTAATAGGGCGACCGCGAAATTGGCAGTCCGGCTTCCTTTTTGGTTTCCCTTAAGAAAGACAGGGACCCTCAAACAAAAGCAACCAACAGGAAACCAACAAAAAAGAAACCGGTGCACCAAGACACACCCTTTAACGGTACCAACAAAAGAAGACGAGGCGAGGCCCGGTGCCCGGTGATGCGATGCGAGCCTCGTTGAGCTTCAGCATCCACTTCCAGAGCTGATGCTGATCCAAGGGCCAGACCTCAGCGACGGCTGAGAGGCGGCGCCTTGCCACCCGGGCAGTGGGCGCGCCAAACATAGGGCCAACCAACGTGGGTTGCCTCCTGTTTGCATGGAAACAAGGACTCAAACTCGGGGATGAGCCCCTGGTTTAATTTGTTCACCCCTACCCACCTTGGCTCTCAGGAATCGGTGGGGGAATGAAGAAGGCGATCCACAAGGAAACCAGAAGGGATAGCTGCGATTCCCTCATTCCCTCATTCCCTGAGAACCAGCAAGCGGTAGACAACAGGTATCCTGAAAAACCTATATTTCAGAAGGGGAGAAGTCCCTGGGTACTTGCAGTAGTGGCAATGCCCATGGTGTCAAAATGGATGTTGCAATTCCCCTCATAAAACCCGAATGGACAGATAGCACCATTTATGCTTTCACCCTACCATGCAGAAGGTTTGGTTTGGGCCCAGTGCCCACTTAACCCTCACTAGGTAGGTTTTCAATGGACCCCACAAGAAACGCAAAAGACCACACAACAAGCTCAGCTCAAGCGTTTTAGAGCACTTCCATCATGCTGAGAGCCCTCAAACCAGGGTTCTGCTCCCTTGAACACAACCATGTAACAGGTTAGGCTACTTACAAGTTGCACATCTAGGTGTATGTATAAAAACAAGGGTTATACATGTATACATAGTTCGATGCATGCCGCACGCAACACACACGCACAAACACACATACACACATACACTTGTTTGCCTGAGGCCTGTGGGCAGTGCGAACAAAACAAACACAAAATGGTTTTCGCATAGTCTTCGCAGTGTGACAAAACACAAAGAAGCGCTTTTGCGGGCGAAGAATGACGTTGGTTGTTTGTGTTGCCTGCTTGGAAAGTGCGCGTAGCTCCGCTTCTCTGTTGAGGAATGCAGACATATCGACCAGCAGCATCCTTGCCCTTTCAACCGAGCTCCCTCAAAACACGCACACCCAAATGGCATTGATAAATTCCACTTAGTCACCATGATATTATTAGGGAACCAGAGTCTTCTTCTTCGGCTCCCCTAAAATGGTAACTTGCAGCACTGGAAATTGCTTCGAAACGAACCAAAACTAGCGCCACCTATTTCACTAACCAATATGAGGCATGTCTTATCTTCCCTTGAGGCTCCAGCGCACTGCGGGTCGAAGATCATGTTCGGATCAGGGCCTCGGTGTGTAAGTCGGCATGGCAGCATACGGCGCATACCCGCCTCCCATGTTGTCCTCCAACCAACAAACATGGCTTGAAGCAAACAGGAACCATTTCCTCACCTAGGGAAGCAAAGAAGCCTTCCAAAGGTGCCAATGCATTGCCATGTTTGTTGGTGCGAGGGTCACCCCATGTTCCCCTGTCATATGGCTTTATAGGCAAACGCCCAGTGGGCCAACCAGCCGATCCTTCACAACCCTTGGTACGGGCTTGCCAAAACTGACTGCTTCTTGCAGCCCCCGGTAAAAATATGAACGGAACCAACAAAAATAAAAGCTTGCCAAGAACAGCAAAGGATCCCATCGCCCCGTAAAACCGGTAAACATGCTCTTTTTTTCCACTTGCACCGAACATATTTAGCTGTTCGGTCCTGGCCCCCATGGCGAGGCCAGCACCAGCACCCTCCCCAAGCCCAACAACACTATGGCTACCTCGGTTGCTTTCTGCTCCCCTGCTAAAAGTTTAACTTTTAGTGGTTGAATGGAAACCCTATCAGTTGGCAAGTTGAAGTCCTAACATCCAAGCAAAATGCGACAAAGCTACTGTGCTCGTTGGAACAGAGATGAAAAGGCTCCAAGATAGATCCTGCGAACCAAATTCACCATTCGCCCTGGGTCGCATACGGCTCCTCTTGTCGAACTCCGCATTGTACCAGGAGAAGAGCGGAACCACATAGACATCCTGCACGCAAGCCCCTTTTTGCCCAATGCCTGGAGGGCAAAAAACGAGTTGGGCATCCCTCCAAAAGAAACAAAACCACTCCAAACAAGACACCCAAGGCCCCAAGGAGAACGTGGCACAAGCGGCTTTCTCCTCTCTCACTATTGACCCAGAACGAAATGCAGCTGCCACATTCTGCGGTTGCCTTTTCACCGTTTGTGCTGGGAACATCAAGTTAGACCCTAGGGGTTTCTGTCCAAATTAGCTGCCCATTGAAACCAGCCAAGAGTGGACAAAAATGGCGTACAGAAAACCGCACTGTGGGAAAGGGGACCTCCAAGTGGCAGAGGAGCCAACTTGTTCCAAAGCCAACTTGCAAGAGGGAAGCTCCTGGCGCGGGACCAGCAAGCTCACTTGCGATGTGCAAGAATTGTTTGAAAAACCACCACGCCCGATGCCGCAAACTCTGCAATCGCAGAGCGTAGGACCCGTACAAACACACATCGTCTCACGCTCGTCGGACCGAGACGGAAGCATGTCTCTCATGAGTCGGATTTCCCCAACAAAAGTTGATCAATGTACTCGTGGCTTCCACTGAAACGAGAAAGCGACTTTTGGAGGTTCCAAAAAGAACAAGGGGGAAACCCGAGTTTGCCGCTACGCTGGGCAATCATCCAACTTTACATGTTTAACATCCCCAAGTAAGGGACCTTCCTGTTGAGCGCGTGAACCAATCGTTTTCTAATCAGAACAGGTTTATTATCACAAAGGTGTGAGCCCACTACCCCTGTTTTGCCCAATGACATTAAGCACAGAGTCCTTTCAGGGACAGAGTCCATTCTCTTGGAAGTAAGCGACAGGTCTTTACTCAAATGCCATCATGGGACGTTTCATTCCCTGGTGAAACACAAATCCTCTACTTCATTCCAGATTCCACTGCAACTGAACGGGAAACTCCATTCTGGAGATTCCTCACATCAGTTGTTTCAGGTTCTCTGAGTGTATTGGCCAACATTCGTCCAAACTTGTTGTTTACCACTAAAATGAATCAGGCCCAAAAAGTTACTAAAGGCATGGACCTCAGGCAGTGAGAAACCTCTTGTCCTGCGTCTCACACCCAACCGAGGCCGCACCGCGCTCCTGAGAAATTGCCGCGGGAAACATCTCGACCTGAGGCGTCTGAAAGCTCTCCCGAAAGCGGCTTCTGCGGAAACAAAGCGAGCACATGGGTGCTTAGGTTGGATCCACTGAAATGCCGGGTTTCCTCTTGGCTTCCCTTTCAAACCAAACAAATGCGTGTACCTACAAACAAGACACACCCAAATGGCCAAGTTGTTATGGAAGGGGTCCACCCAAAACCGTGTAAAGATACAGCTGTGCGGGTCTGTCTTTTTTGGGGGCAACCCCTTTTTGGTTAGTTTTAAAGGGAAACCAAGAGGAAAACAAAAGCCACGTTGGCGTGTCCAACCTAATAACAGCTCCCGCTCCCCAAACTTCCGCGGTTTCTACGAACCGAAGCTACTGGGTGTCAGGAGTGAAAATGGTAAAAAAAAGCAAACAACAAGTATACGAAGCGTAGATATCCTTTTTTGCGTCCTGGAAAAGATGAACAACTATTCCCAGGTGATAGATTCCCTTTAAGCTCGACCAGGGAAAATACCAAATATTCTTCGGCAAATGGAAGTACCCCATTGAACCCTGGCGTAGCCACCCGTTTGGGGGCAGTGGAAACCAGATTGCTCGATGGGGTTCCGCACAGCTCCAGGATTCCTTGGGTTCAGGCCATGAAAATAATGGGGGTTATTGCAACCACCATTCTTTACCTAAGGATTCTCATCATCCAAATTGGGTTTTCACTATTCTCTGCAAAACCAACAAGGGAAACAAACATATAGGTTGTGGGATCACTCGGGGTGTATCCTCACTTCTGTGATACTTTTAAAAAAACCCGTTTGAAAAAGGGGGGTTTGTCTTTGGGGCTAGGCACTTCCTATCACAGAAGTGTATTCCATTTCAACCACAGCCCTGTATTCCGTTTCAACCACAGCCCTGAACAAGGAAACCTAAAAAATAAACAAGGAAACATCAGAAAACCTTCCCAGTTGCAAATGGAAATCAACAAATATCTATTCTTTTTTACACCTGGACGAGCTCGAGCCGCGCGCGACGATTCCGCGCGCGCTCCTTCGTCCGGGGGTCCGGGCGCCCATGTCGTCGCAGGCCTGGATCAGGGCCAGCAGCTTCGCCACGGAGTCGGGGAACCGCGCGGTGCGCACCTGAAACGTGGCGTCGTTGGCGTCGTGGCGCGCCAGATCGGTTTGGGGTTTACCCGACTAGGTCCGCCAGAGAGGTTCAGGCTACCAACATTTCTTCTGTCTATTTTATTGGAACCGAATCTCCCCCAAGAAAGGGCAAAAGGGTAGTACTGGGGGACCTAGCCTACTGTGGATGGCTGTGAAATCTAGAATTTCGCAGCGCGAAAGGAGTTACCAGGATTGAAACCATTGCTTAGTTGGTATTTACAGGGGAATCAGTCAGCATTCTCGGGTTTCTTAGGTGGTGCAGGATTTCGTCCATCCACAGTAGGGTAAACCCATGAGATATTCCGGCTATCAGGGCAGGCGACAGGGGAAAGCTTTCTCATGGCGTTCCAAAGGGTGGGTAAACCCTTGACGTTCAGGATACGAGACAAGTGTTCTCACGGAGTTCCAAAGGGTAAACCCATGGGGAGATGTTCAGGGTCGTTTCCTTTCATGGTGGTTTGCAGAACGAAGCTTCAACCCAAGCAGGTTCAAACATTTCCCTAGGGTTCCGACCGAAAAGTATCACTGATGCGCAAGCTACCAGTAAGAGGGGAAGGCAATACTTAGGGCATTCACCATAGGGGAAACTCACCTAGTCAAAGTGTATTGTGAGTGCGTCATGTTTTGGGGGGCAAACCTTTCTTCGTGAGATTATAAAAGGAAAACCACCATTTTGAGGGGTCCAACCCCCCAAAAAAAACGCCCATGTTTTTTCCAACCGCTTCAGGTGAACAAAATCGCTGGGTCCATGGGTTTTCATACTTCCTATCTCCATTGGGGTTCCATAGTCTCTCTAGGGCTTCCACTTGGGTTTACCGCAGGTTTCCCACTCTGCAGTTTTTGCATTGGTTTTGCCTGGGTTTTCTCAACTCGGGCGGCTTGGGTTTCAACCTGGGGTAAGCATTTGGAGGGTCTTTGGGATTCAAAGGGTAAGTCAAGATTTGAAGCATTTCCTCCGTGTTTTGCAGGTCCCTTTAGTTTCAAACATGTCGGAGTAACTTCTGGAAACCCCAAGCCGCTCGATTCGGTGAGTTCGGTCCACCTGAGTGAAACTCCGCAGAAGGAAGTCCAAAACATAGAGTTGACTGGCTGATGTCCCCTAACCTACACGAATCGCTTTGACTCTTCAAGCTTCACTGGCGACACTGTCTCGCACTGCGTACCCTAACACACGGGCAAACCTACTCGACCAATCACCCACTTGAAAAACATATCCCAGCACCTGTTGATCAAAACCAGATGGGAAGGTGATTACACACTCAGAGCGACATGAATTTCCACGCACTTCCTTGCGGATTAACATGGAACCCACAAATAGGGTTCATCAAAGGGAGGTTCCTCCAGACAGCGAAGGTTGTTGCGTTCCATGTCAAATTGCTGGTTCAGGTTCTCAGCTGGAAATGGGGGAATGACCTCTACGAGCTATGAGTAAACCATCCCCTATGTATTCCTAGAAGGGCATCCGAAACAGCTCATTCTGAAGCCGCCTACTGATTGCTTACTCAGAACCAGCAAGTGAAACAAACACAGAGGTGTGGAATGACACCAGGGCCTCCAAATGGTTGTCTAAGGAATGACCCTTCTAAGAAGCAGAACCCCCTTGCCAACCAAACGCCACAAGATGGCGCTTGCTACTGTGGATGGACGACATCCTGCACCAGAATGATGACTCGCCTGCAAATAGCAACATACAATGGTTTTCCACGCTTTAAAAAGTGGCGCAGGAGTTATCCATCCGCAGCACCTCCAAGATTGGCAGGTGGGGAAAGAATCGCAAAACACATAAAGATCCACGCCCACCTCCTACCCCCGCCCCCTCCCCACCCCAACCCCCCCCCCCCAACCGCCCCACCCAACCTCACCCCACCCAACCCCCCAACCCCCCAACCGCCCCCACCCAACCCCACCCAACCCCACCCAACCCCCACCCTCACCCACCCCACCCTCACCCACCCCCCCCCCTACCGCCCCATCCAAAAGCCTCGCTGGCGTTCAGTGCGAGGTCCCGGTTCCCGGGCACGAAGAAGACCCGGCGGTACTTGGCCTTCAGCACCTCCACCAAAAGCTCCGGACGTTCGACGTTTTGGGCTTCCGCGTCTTGCAGAGCTGGTTGAAAGTGACGAGGTCCAAACCTAGATTTGCAAAAAAAGTTGCAGAGCTGGTTAAAAGAGGTCAAAACCTAGAGTTGCAAAACTGTTTAGTCTCATAATATACCTTATCAGACAAGTTACAGCTTCATTATCATACTGTTTGTTGCTTGGTTCCATGGTGTTCACGATTGGCCATCTTTGCCGTTGCGGGACAAGCTTTTGTCCACTTGTAGCCACAGACCGAGCTGTGGGGGAAGCGTCCTTTCTTCAGAGTTCCCCCCCCCTTTCCGCCGGCCTTATGCATTCTTTCAAGCGTCATTGTGATTCCCGAACATGCCGCAGCTAGGTTTTAATATGCCTTCTCTTTGGAAATCGACTGGCTGAGCGATGCAGCCAGCAGCACTCACCGGATGCACAGTTTCCTGTCTTACCAAGCGCCCTAGCTTGAAGGCCAAGGTTGCCCTCTTTTGGCCCCCAACATGGGTGAGCGTGGCAAGAACCTGCGTGATGCAATTTGGGTAGGCTGAAACCTTGAGAACAGTGCCAACATGGGTCGGGGTATGCTCAAAAGGTATGGTGGTTAGTTGTTACACGCTCAGTGCCTGAGGTGATGGCTCTTCAAGAACGGTTTCGAAACTCAAAACCACCAATTCAGGGATACCGGATACCCGACAAACTCCCTTCCTGAGTGGATTGGCCAACAAACGTCTGCACTTGTTATTTACCCCTAAAACGGTCCAAGCCCAAAAAGCGACTAAAGCCCAGGAACGGGCAAAACCTTGGGCAAACCGGCCGCTTCCCGTTTCAGGCCCAACAACCAAACCCATCCCCTCACTTCAATCGGGCGCCTTCAGGGCGCGCAGCGTGGTGTGCATCGTCTCCGCCTCAGCTTTGCCGGGTGAATTCCACCAGGGTGAGATGGATGGTCAATTCACAGGTAGATGTGGGGAGGCAAAGGCGTTGACCGTACCACCCAACGTTAAAAATCAGGTCACCAAGAAGACCTTCGCCAGAGTGAGGGGCTTTGCCTGCTGTTGAGCTTGCCGTAAAAAACAAGCCAATCAGAGGGGATACGCCTCCCAGTGCCTAAAGAAGCAACTGAATGATCTCTGGTTGCTAAACCCCTTTTGCCAATCACTCAACGGACTTAGGTCCCCAAATTACCTTCGCCGGGGACGGGTGAGAAGACTTGCCTACGCAGAAATGTCTGCGCCCATCACGTTTCATTTTTTTACATGCCCTGCCAGAAGTCAAAACTAATTAAAAACAACATATCCTTTGGTGGCAGAGTGCGTGGAAACGCCTGTAAAAAGAGCCTGTAAAGCCTTGCATATCCTCGAAATTGGCCTCACGTGCTTAGCATCTCCTCTTCCTGATGTACACGTTTTCTTTGACAAGCATCGCTTCAATCTTCGAAAAGTCTGCTTGCCAAAACAAGGCATCTCAGTGGGGCCTCTGCAGCATCCAAAGCGGGGCATTGCCACATCAACATGACGGGGTGTATCACCCCTTTTGTGCCCTGATGCGACACTGTGAGCACTACTGAATCATGAATGGTAGTAGCAACCTGTGGTTGATTCCCGGTTCAAGTTTGTAGCAAACCCAAAGAGACCAATTCTACCCTCGTGTTTTGGTGGTGCGTGTGAAACAGGGACCCCCCCAAAAAAAACAAAACAGAAAGAAAAGAACAAAAGTCCCTGCGGCGTCCATGAAATTAACCCCTAGGGTTCAGCCCCCATTAAAAGAATGGTTGAGCCAATTTGGATGACAGTCCTTCGGCAAATGGTCTGTGAACCCCCATTGCTTCAATGGTAATTTAAAATCCCAGGCCAAGGAAGCAAACAAACCTACAAAAAACGGAGCCGCCCATATGACCCATGGTGAAAACTCCCTATATGGCCTATGGTCATGGTCCCCTGAATCATGATAGTTAAGGATGCTTACCAGGTGGATGCCAGCCCGGCCAACAAGAGTGGCTTCCATTGAGCCGATCGCCTTGGGAGGCTGTGCCAAACCCAAGTACAGGAACCGCTCTTTTGGCACATCAGGTCGACAAGAACCTGCCACCCTTGTCTGAGGGTGGTTGAATTTGTATCGCTTTTTGCAGCAGCTTTTCGACCCTGAACAAGGCCAATCTGACCAGCACCCCTGTTTCTGTAGAAGACCATGGCACATAATTGTAAAATCTACGACAAGAAGGAGCAAGAACCCAATGTTCTTCAGCAAATGGAAGGCAAGCCCAAGCAAAGGAACCGGTCTGGGGGCACTGCCACGTTTCCGGCCACGATCAGTACGTCGTCCTGGACGACATCGGCGTGACTCGTTGCAACGAGTCAAACAACTATGGGAGTCTGAGTGTTCAATGGGGTCCACCCCGTAAACATCATTTACGTGCGGGTGTAAGTCCGCCCAACATGCGCTTTTGCGCTGCTTAGCGCTTGAGGATGCACATAGCCGACATGACCGTTCCCCGAATCTATGCAAGCCAGTCCAGCCAAGTCGCGTGTCTCTGAGCGAAAACAACGGAGCCTGCAGCCCCTCATGAAACTGATCAATCTCAACACCCCTAGAATGCCACAGAATGACTTGTGCCTTTTTTGAGGGCACCCTTTCTGTTTGGCCTAGGGAAACCCAAAGGAACCCTTTTCCCCCCCCACATGTCTCCCCCCCCTCCGCATTTTGTGGGTTCTGACAAAAAAAAGGACACGGCCAACGAGATTGGGTTCCTAACGGCTTGTCCCGCTCACCGCTTCCTGGAACTCTGCATCGTCAATGGCTTGGCACCACCTGGGCTCAAGGAAATTGCAGAAACCACCTGGCTGTGGCTCCGAAAATCCAAAACGGACCTTGGTAAATGTAAACACGGACTAAAACCTGGGGGCTCCGGGTGGTTTTATTTTGCCCACCACCACCTTGGTCTAACTCAAGTGTTTCACTTTGGGGGAAGTTTACTTCGTTGGAGAGGGCATCAGGGTTCTTTTTTGGAGAGTGGATTTTCGAGCAGTGGTTGAGTGGAGCATTTTTCTGGAAATGATTGTGAAGAATGGCCCTTTTCTGTAGCCTAATAGTGTGGCTCCCATGCCCATGACATTTTAGTCAGATTCGTCACGTTCAACATCATTCCGTTAGCCCCTCATAGAAAGCTTGGTCGACAAGACCCCCCGATTCCCTCGGTAGCTTTGTGTTCAAATGAACACATACATATTTCCAGTAGTGTATTCCCTGTAAACCCAACAGGGACACATTCCTAAGCAGTTGAACAAGGACGCGCGCGAAGGGGTTCACCGCCTTGGGTATCTCAAAGTTTCCAAAGGCCCCTGGAAGACAATGTTGTGGGATGTTGTGGGTATGTGTCATCATTCCCAAACACCCGAATCGTTGGATTTGTCCTCTTGGTTTCCCTATTGTTTACCAACCCCAGAAAGATTACCAAAGCAAGACACGCAAACATGGGCGGTCTTGGCTTGGGGGGGGGAACCCTCTTTTGGTCTTAAACGGAAACCAACAGGACAACGACCATTGTTTGGCGTCTAAAAAAAAAAAACAACACACACACCCGGGCCCACATGTTTCAAAATAATTCAAAAGAGCCGACCTTTGACACACCGCGAATTGTTGAACATCTTCCGCCGGCAAAAAATGGCGGTTATATGAACCCCTTTATTTTAATGGCGGCAACTGAAATGCAGGGGTCGGCCTACCAAGCGGTCCTTCAGGCGGCTCTCGGTCTCGACGCTGATTGAGGCACTGGCTCTGCATTGGCTTTGTGGTCGTAGTAGAGGTCAGAAACCACCCAGACCTTCCGATCCGATGGGAGCCATGCGGTGGTCGTGCTTTAAGTTGAAAACACCAAGCCTGTTGGTTGGTCGTTTCGCTTCGGCCCGAAATGGAGCCCGGCATTGTTGGACGGGGGGGCCGCTGATTTCAATGGCCTTCGCAAGAAGTATCAAGTCCAGGAGCTCAGGAAGTGAGATCAACACCGGCGCGTCGACGAGCGAGCACATTGGGGCGCGCCAATCATCGATGCTTCTCTCAAGCCTGTTTTTCTCTAGACGTGGTTCAGATCTCTGTTGGCTCCGCGGACCCCACAATCATGGAAGCTGATCGGAGGGTGTTGGAAGAACATGTGTTCCTCTGCGGCCCATTGAGGAAGCCCGGCATGATTGTTGGACAAAGGGTAGTTCTTGACATATATTGAGCTAAAACTGGCGAACAGAACGGGTCCTTCCAAAAAATGCAAGAGGGGGCTCTAACTATCTGGCGCGCTGCTTTTCGCAAGAGCAACGGCCTGACTGGTGTATGTTGTCATTCTTGGAAAGGGGCCTCAAGCAACGCGAAGGAGTCAACTTGCCCTCGAGGACAGGGTGCCGCAAAATAGTTGCACCAAATTTTGAGGTACAAGGTATCTGGTAAAAATCAGCGCCCGGATTTGGGCAGGCCTTCCGTGTCCTCAAGCCAACAGCGGTCGCCATTTGATCAGGTGATTTTTTTTGGTCTCACTCGCTAAACCTGCCCAGTTTTGGTTTCCCGAAAAGCCCAGGGTGAAAGGACCCCAAGTGTAAGTAAGGGCCTTTGACCCCCACAGACCCAAAAGAATGAGGCCAAAAGTGGCCCCTGATACCAATGAACCAAGTTCGGTTTATTCCTCTTTACAATCACCACGAACCACCAAAAGTGCGGGTGAGTAACCAACCCCGCTACGAACACGTGGTGTGTACCCACATTGGGTGGACCAACAAAACTGCGGCTTGCCTTTTCCATTCAAAAGGAAACAACCATCTGCAGAAAAACCACACACACACACACACGCACACACACGCGCACACCCGCGCGCGCCCCCTGGAATGTTTTGGGCGGATCCCTGCCTTGGTAAAAGCGCGGGGCCGGCCCCGGTCTCGAAGCAGCTGGCTCTTCTGCGCCTGGGATTCCCCCGAATTTGGCCCTTGAAGCGGATTTTCGTGCCAGAACCCCGAGCGATGCCCAGAAAAATATTGCAAAGGAACCACGGAAACCTCGAGCTGTACCCTCCCCATTCTCTTTGCGGAATTAAAAAAAAAAAAAAAAAACCTCTCTTCAAAAAAGGGGGGGGTGCCAAACCCTTGAAAAATGGGTGGTTTCTAAAGAGAACGATGGCTAACGAGAATGGGGAATCAAACCTTATAAAACCCTGGAAATTCCCGTGCCGCGCGGTTTACTTTCAATAGGGCATGGTCAGCCTCACCTGGTCAGATCTCGGACCTAGCTGGACCCAAGCTGGAGAACCAAAAGGTCATTTCAGGTCGACTCGCGTTGGTTGCAACTGATCATAGTGGTAAATCCGCAAGCTTTAAGTCCTTAGTTGTTTTTATTTGGCCTTCCTTGATGTTTGGGGCCAATTCCTAGGACTCCATGAGCTGGTTCGTCAAAGTGGGTTCATTGAGGTGTACATTTGGTGTACATTTGGTTGCGTCTGGAGGGTTCTCAACATGAGACGGAGGCTTGCCCAATCCGATCGTCCGAAAAAAAGGCCCAAGAGGGAACCCACGTCCAAGAGGGCTCCTTGCGTCACAGGGAAGGATCTTGCGGATCGAAATGAACAGCGGCTCGAACCACACGGCCCCTGAATTCAACTTCAAAATCCACTTTGGCATGAAGAAACAATCAAGAACAAAGATCCCTGCGGATGCCAAAGGTCCCTGAAAGTGCGATCTATCCGGGAAGGGGCTGATCAACTCGTTATGAATGACAACCATTGCAAGGGTTCGCAAGAGAATTATGTCCGACTGGGTCCTAAGTGGCTGCGGTGGTTTCATTCAATGGACTACTCCGAGCCTCATGCCAAAAAGTGTTGTTTCTTTTAGAAGCTTCCTGAGATGGAACACGCACCAAGGTTCGACAGTCACCAGGGAAACACCAGAGAAGTTTCCTAGCAAGAGAAACAAGAAGCAACACCAAGGAAAACCAGGCAACACACCCAACTAAGGTTCAACAAGCGACCGGTCCGAGTCCCCAGACTCTAGATCTCCACTTGGGAATGGCAGTAAGGCAGGCCTGCGAGCGCCAATGTCGAGCCATCCCTCCAGTGAATCCCGAAAAAACCAGGCACACGACCACCCGATAAACATAGTTAGCCCTTACTTTGTGGATTGAATTGGATTGGTTTGGAGTTTGCTGTTCATACTTCCCCGATCACTGGTAGTTGGGATTGGATTGGTTTGGATTTTGCTTTTCATTGACTGCCTAACATGGCAAATGTAAGGTAATAGCCGTTCACTGGTGGGTTTGGATTGGTGGCTTGGGCTTTGCTATTCACGGCTTGCTTAGCATGGCGCAAATGTCAGGAAATTGTTCATGGCTGGGGTTCAAGGGAAGCTCTACCATGGCGTAGCATATTCGTTCTGCTCAGCAAACACGCACACATAAACTACATGATGACTCATGAGCAGGTTTGACTCCTCTTTGCGATAGGCGGTGGGCCCTTCGGAGTAGACCCCCCCCCCAGTTGAAACCATTAAACTATGGTTGGATTGATTGCTTCAATGCCGGGATAAACCACCTGCCAACGGGTGCATTTCTTCCATCCACAGCGTTTCACGAATCGACTGTAGCAACCAAGACGAATCAAGAACCTCCTGATAGATTGAATCCTCGCGTGGGGCCCACGCAGCCCCAATTAGCCTGCAGCGTCTTAGAGGCGGCGTCCCAAGCATCGCAATCTGATAGCAAATTGCTCAGTTCTAACGCGTCCCAAGCATCGCAGTCTGATAGCAAATTGCTCAGTTCTAACAACAGAACCAAAACTGATAGGGGCCCATTCAACATTCTAGGGTTCCTGAACAGTGCGGCGAAATTGATATATACACTCCACGTATATATAATATAGATATCGTCTATATAATAGTCTACATATAGTAAATATTTATATATATAGACTATATCTGTACATATACTTGGCTTGATCCCTTGCCAGCCCTGCGCCTCCAAGCCCTGCCGGGCCACCGAGTAGTGGCTGTCCATGGCCTCAGTTTCTGGTTGGTTTCCGCAGCAAAGGGGAGGGAGGGGGGAGCGTCTAAGCAGCTCCTTGCGAGTGTTTAGAATTTACTTGGGCCCTGCGGGGGAACGAAGATGGAACAATGCGTGAATCCCCTACAGAGTTGAACCGAACCTGATGCAAAAAAACGGATCAGTGTTTACGTTCGGTTATCGACAACAAATTGTTTGAAGTGTGCAGCATCATCCAGCAAAGAAGGAACTTCTTGAAAGTTTGCACACGTCATAGCTCTCGTTCCGGCACGATGACCCCCAAACGATACAAGACTCGGCCACGCAATGCGGAAGTTGAAAGATTTGTTGCGAAAGCCGACGAACATCGGCAGTTCAATACAGGCTGGTCCAGCCGGTCGAAAAGTACGGCAACTTTCATCTGGAGAAACAAGTATGGCCTGTAAAGAAGATGTCCCTCTGCTTCATCCATGAAAACAAGGCAACAGCTGATGAAACAGGTCCCCCACAGGCCTCCTTTTGAGCGAGGCAACCAGTCTGGTACTCCCAAACGACAAAGTCCTGGCATTTTTCGTGTTTTCCTTGAAAACCCGCAGCCTGCCAATAAAAACAGCGCAACGGAGGGTCCCGGCAGGGTACTTGCAACTGAGCCTTCCCCACTGGCACACAGCGCCCAAGTCTCTCCTAGAACTGGTTTGCTTGAGTGCCACCGCGGACAATCCCCATGGCACATCGCATGATACAAGGCACCTAAACGCATTTTAAGCATATATATATCTATATCTCTACGTACGAGTAGGAAGGCAATCCCCATGGCACATCACATGCCAGCTTGGACCTAGATGTTGCTTGACTATTTATGTTTGCACGCCAATATGAAGGCAATCCCCGTGGCATTTATGAAAGCAACCCTCATGGCACATCGCATAATCAACCGCAACGTGTCTCCAAAAACTGCTTTGTTTGAGTGCCACTACGGACGATATCCCCATGGCACATCGCATATTGCAAGGCACTTATTAGCAGCTAAAGAGCTGGAAAAAGGTGGACATGTTTGACAAGTTTTCTCGAGAAACGAGTCCAAAAACGAGTCTAAAACAAGTCCAAAAAGAAAGAAAACATACAGCCGCATGCTGTTGCAGGGTGCTGCTGCAAAAGGAGTTGCGCAGGGTGCTGTTGCAGGGTGCTGCCGCAGGGTGCTGCTGAAGGAAGGTGGTTTCCATGCCAATGCGCTCGGCCTACCCCAAAGACCTCAACTATATCGATGAAACCATCTTAGGGGACCACGCTCAGCATGTATTTCTCTACACAAATGACCTAAATATCACGGCAACAACTGTTTCCTGAACACATGCTGAACCCAATGCCACTGGCACACCAAGTTGCAACGACCCTACCGGATGCAGTTCGTGCGCGTATTACACCAAAAAACGCCACCGAAACTACCTGGTTTCCTGCTGATCCAAAGCGCGAGGATTCGGAAGTTCAAACCATAAGAATCGAATAAGATAAATATTTATATATTATATAAACTTCCGGCGTTTTATATAAATCTATAAATTTTATATATTATATAAAATTTATAGAATTATATAAAAATCGTGCTATATAATTATTGAAATTTCTTTATATAATTATTTAAATGATTTAAATAATTATATAAATAATTTAGATATTTACTTAAATTGTGTTGCCTAATTATATACATATTATAGAGAGACAGCCCTTGGAAATCAATCGCACGCGGGCAGATTTGTGCTTTCGGCGTTGTCTGCCGCAGCGGACTCATGGCTCTAAAAGCACGAAGGGAGCGCTTGGCGGCCGATCCCGGGCTGTCTGTGGCAGACTTAGAGAAGGCCATTGGCAACGCTTTGAGTCGCCTTGGAGCAGACTTGAACTACTTGGTGGTGCCACTCAAGAACGTCAGCTGGACGTCGGCGCCATCGTCGACGTTGCCAGCATTGGCCGCGGCTCCGGACCTGTACGAGGAGCTCATGACGGTCGCGCCGAACACGGCTTTGCCTCCGCGCAAGTTGCAGGACGCGGTAAGCGCGTTGTTGGCTTCGGGCCAGATCTTGGCAGCTAAGGACAAGGTTTCCGAGCAGGAATATGCAGAACAGCTTGGCGATCGTCTGCGGATGGTTTTCGCCAAAGTTCGGTCTTGCGCTGGGGACCGAGCCACCGAGAAGCGCACCATGAGCAAGGCCACGGAGAAGCAGGCAGCAGTCTTGCGAGCTTTGCTCGCACGGTGCTCGTACAAGTCCCTGGGCCCGCAATTACCCGTGTCGACCTCTAGTCTGGCAACAGCTGCTTCTCGGGAATCCGACACCGCCGTGCTGGATCTAGACTTCGAGGCCTTAGCTGGGCAGTTCGAGGACTGCCTTTTTTGGCAGTAATGAAAGGTGGGAGCTTTGAGAGCTTTGAGAGACTTTGAGAGTTTTGAGAGTTTGGAGTTTTTTTTTTTGCATTGTGAGAGTTTTGAGGGAGTAGGGAGAGATGTTGAGAGTTTTGAGAGCTTAAGTGCGGGGAGAGGTCTTAAGAGTGTTGAGAGGTCCGAGAGGCTTAGAAGATTTTGAGAGCAAAGGTTCTTGAGCGCTTCGAGAGACTTCGAGAGTTTTGAGGGTGTAGAGAGCCGAGTTTTGAGAGTTCTGAGCGCCGTGACGGCGACCTGATCTGGCCCAGCAAAGCACGCAGGACCTGAGCTCTGCTGCATCGGCCAAGCCGTCTCCGGCACGCACCAGCGAGAAGCGCCCTCCAGACCGCGTTGATGAAGATGCTATCCTTGCCGAGCTTGCCACTCAGTCCTCCGTCGAGATCCTCGACGTGAAGCCTCCCCCGAAGGTGTTGAAGCGGCCTGCAGCCGCACTGAAGAGACCGGCCAGCGCGCCCGCACCTCTTCAGCAGGCTGCTCCTACGACGGCGGAGGAAGAGATTCCGCGAGGCTGGCGGCCGTCGCAGTCTTTCGGGCTCATCAAGGTGACCGCGGCCACCGCAAAGGGCTACATTCAGGCCAAGGCCTCCGTGGACTCGAAGCCGTACCTGCTGTGCAATGTCGGTGTGCAGCGAGGCCCAGAGCAGACCCGCCTCTTGGCGGCGCTCTTCAGGAAGTCTGCCTCGGAGGAAATGCTCACAAAGGAGGCCGTGGTCACATTCAGAAACCAGCTGCAGGTCTAGGCAGCGCACGACCCCACGGAGAGCGACCCTGATTCGTGCTTATAAGACAAAAAACTTAAGATTGTCTCGCTTTTTTTTTTTCGGAACTGCAGGTTTGTTTCTCTAGCTTGCGTGTGACATCAGGTTTGTTTCTCTAGCTTGCATGCCCAGCTGGCTCCTGCTGCCGCGATGTGTTTGGCTCAAAAGGGCTCACGCCAATGGCCGCACGCTGGTACGTCACCAACGTGCCGAGCGGGTGGACCGCGCGGGCGCTGGAGCTCGCGCTGCCGGTGAGCAGCTTGCATGTCAACCGGCAGCGCCAAGCCCACACTGGTCTGGTGTCGGTCGTGTGTGAGTGCTCGCTAGAGAACACGGCGCTTCTGCGCCAGCTGGTGGCAGCGTATGGCTGGTACATGTCCCCGGGCCAACCGCCCCGGGGAGCGGCTGCCCCGCCTGAGCCCGCGGTAGGGGCTGCGAAGGCCACAGGACCACCGCCGCCCGCGAAGGACATGCGCGCATGCGTTCTTTCCTCTCTCTTTTTTTCACGAGTGCGACGCCACAGGAGCGGGGACCGGCCCAGACCAAGCCCGCGCCGGCGGCTGCTGCCAAGGGCCCACCCCCGCCGCTTGCAAAGGACACGCATGATGCGTGCACATTTTTCAAATTTTCTCGCTCCAGGACCGGCAGCCGGCCAAGGGCAAGCCCGGATCGGCCGCGCCGAAGACACCGCCGAAGCAGGGCCAAGGACACGCACATGTGCATACGTATTTCTGTTTGGCTCCACGTGGCGCCACAGGAGCCGGGACCGGCCCAGACCAACCCGCGCCGGCGGCTGCTGGGTCTGCCAAGGGCCCACCCCCGCTCGCAAAGGACACGCGTAGATGCGTGCATGTTTTTCCAAACGTGGCGCCCCGAGGACCGACAGCCGGCCAAGGGCAAGCCCGGATCGGCCGCGCCGAAGACACCGCCGAAGCAGGCGGCCAAGGACACGCGCATGTGCATATACGTATATTTGTTCCATGTGTCGCCACAGGACCGGAGACCGGCCCTGACCAAGCCCGCGCCGGCAGCCGCGCGGCCTGCCAAGTCACCCCCGGCGCTTGCAAAGGACACGCATAGATGCGTGCATGTTTTTTCCAAATGTGGCGCGCCAGGACAGGCAACCGGCCCGGAGCAAGCCCGCGCCGGTCACACCGAAGGCACTGCCGAAGCAGCCGGCCAAGGACATGTGCAGTTTGTTTGTTTGGCGGGGTTGCGTGTGGCGCCCCAGGACCGGCAGCCGGCACAGGGCAAGCCTGCGCCAGCGGTCACTGCCAAGGACCCTCCTCCGGCCAAGGACATATGCTTTTTTTCTGCGCTACATGTGGCGCCCCAGGACCGGCAGCCGGCCCAGAGCAAGGCCGCACCGAAGACGTGGCCGAATCAGCCGGCGCCACAACCACCAAAGCTGCCGCCACCGCCGGCGCCGCCGCCCCACTCAAGCGCTGACAAGAGTCGCCTGCCGGCAGCAAAGGCCGAGCCGGCGCAAGCGCCTGCAGCTGAGCTACCCCCGTGGGCGGTGATTCCGCCCGCGCAGGGAATCCGAGACGCCTCCACGACGAGCCAGCGGCTGTTTGGGAGGAGGAGAAGGGGCTGGGACGACCTGCGCTTCCATGAGAGGGTGGCCTGGATGAGAAGGCATCGACTGCCTCAAGGCTCCGTGGGCCAACTGCTGAGACGGCGGCTGGGCCCAACGTGCCGCAGCTGCTCGGTCAGACGCGTGCGAGGTCGCCCGCACGTGGAGGCCTGGGCCCGCGGAGCTGCGGACAGAGACAGGGCTCGGCGCGAAAAGGCGCCAGAGCGCGACCAGGCGCGGCCACATAGCG